CTCTCTCTCTCTCTCTCTCTCTCTCTCTCTCTCTCTCTCTCTCTCTCTCTCTTTCTGACTCTCGCGCCCTCACGCCTTGCGTCATTGGTACACGGCGAACGCGGACAAATGTGTCGCATTATACATGAGCGAGATGTTTGCGAGTTTTGGCAGAGTTGGATCGCACGTGAAACGTTTACAACGGCGATGTCCTAGGAAAATCGTTTTGCACCCGGCGAAATTTCTGACCGATTTTTCCGCAGGGACAAATTTCGCGCGTCTGGCAACCGCACTTCTTCGACATTACGTACACACGACGATGATAATAATCTCGCGTCCGAATACGCGAAAATCGGCGTGTCTAATTATAATAAATCAGTTTTGCGAGAAATATAACATCGCGTCAATATTTACGACCTCGAATTTGGCCTCGACGGGAGCTTGTAATTTTCTGGAAATTCACGAACGCGCGGCAGCAGTTTCGGATGACTCTCACGGTGCGACACGTAACGGGACAATGCGAATCGTTCGGCAGGAATTATATGTGGCGTTCGCGCGCTAACGTTGCACGGATAAATGTCCCGCGGACTCAAAAACATAGATGGACAAGAACCGGAGGGCCGAAAATCGTTAAAACGTAGTAGACGCTATTTATCGGCGAACGTGTTGTAACGATGTTTGATGTCGTCGATAATGCGTTATTACGAGGTTACGAGGTTTACGCCAAAATACGATAACAATAAAATCACCCGTGGTTACCGCGCTGAATCGGATTATATCCTGCATCGGACATCCTGCAGCGCGCTACCGCCCAATGGAAGCGCGCCCGGTGCAAATTCTGACTTCGTGCTGCATTTTTATCGATCTCCTTGGATTTGGTGAAGAAGAATTATAAAAGAAAAACAAACATGAAGATATACATACATGCGCACCTGTCGGCTTTGCGTTGGACTCACTTGGCTGCGCGACTAATGAAGCCTGTTTTCGCGATCTTGACGGAACGGATGCACTCGAACGTGATCACTTTGAACCCATGCACATAAGCACACACATACACACTCATATATTACACGATCTCCCTTCTTTCCACTCCTTTCTCGAATGAGAACGTAAGAATCGCGCGAGTAGGTGACAAAAGAGAATCCACAAGTAAGCTCGCGTGGTTTTCACACGCGCGCGCGCGCGCGGCGATTTTAATTTCGACGGGATTTCAAAGGCATTTTTCGACGAAGGACGGGAAGCGTCAGTCAAAGAGTACGGCAGGGGGGACCAAGGGGGACGAGGAGGAGGAGGTGGAGGTGGAGGAGGAGGAGGAGGCA